AAAAATTCTGAGAGGAATGATAGCAGGTATGGTTGTTGGATGAAGGGAAGGGGAAGCAGAGAAGGGAAGATACACACCAACTCGAAACGAATTGCAGTTGGAGCACCTTCTCGCCGTCGGATACATCCCATAAAGGGAAGAGGGACGCCGGCGACTATCCTGCAGTATTCTCAAAAAAAAAACTAAACTCTAACACAGAAAATACTATATTTATAATTAAAAGATAACTAGGAAGGGGAACCCCTCCCTTTGAAAGACAGCACTCCAAACTCTTAAGCATGGTTCAACAGGTTCAACCCCTTGCCGAAGTGGAAGCTTCTTACTGAACCAGTTGGGGTTGGTTAAGCCACAAGCCCCAGCGTCATCAACAAAAGCATTTAAGAAAATATTTGTGATCTTAACAAATAATAATAATAATAAAGTAACTTTTCTTTTTAAGGTAAAAGCAATTGTCATTCTTTTTCTTTTCCTTCTTTTTTATCAATCACCTGACAATATTTTTCCTATTTGAACTTCACTCGAGACTTCTGGATGATGCTAGGAATTCTTTGTTATTTAAGAATATTGAAGATAATTTAGTTATTATGAATTTGCTACCAGATTATTTTTCCAAATAATTGGAAAAAGGTTATTATGAATCAATTACAAGATTTCAAGTACTTTAATTTAGTGCAGTATAGCTAACTGATAGTGATCCTCAGGTTGTGTATTGTGGGACCCTGGGAAAAGGTAAGAAATAAAAAATGAACATTTTATAACCAGAATTACTGCATTTATCCCTCCTGATACAATTAATTACTCTAGAAGGTGTCCACGTACCATTAAAACTGTCAATTTCTTCTTTTCTTCAATTGTTTCAGATGCTAATTAAATTCACATACAAAAATCTGATCCAACGTTCAACTTTGAACAGTCCTCCGAACAATTCGTCTTAGGTTCAAAATCATTTCTGCACAAAACCAAACAAAACTAAAAAAGAGCTAAGGTTGAATTGGTGGTGAACCGGACCAGTTTTTAATGAACCTGCCAGTTCTAATATTGATCAAATTTTGGCACTTCAATTTTGATCAGATGGTTGGAATGAAACATTTAGAATTAAAAGTAGATAAAATAATTAAAATAATATGCCCGAAAATTTTGATTTAGAATTTTATTTAAATATATAAGAAGTGTCCTAAATTAAAATATTATATATTAAATTGATGAAAATAATTTTATTTCATCATTACTACACCATTTAAATTGTATTAAAATAATTTAATATTTATTTTGCCATTTGTTCAAACTTCGTTCAGTTCAACTGCAGTTGAGCGGTTGAACTCTGAACCAATCCTTTCAGTTCAACGTCTAATTATAATTTCATAACCTTGCAAATATCAATACATCTGACTTTCAGTGGAAAAATAAAAAAAAATTAATGCCACTAATCTGCACCATGAAATGATTCTGTCAAGTTGTCTGCATAACTATAAAAAACAAATCATGCATTACATGCCAGAACTGAAAACATAATATTATAAAGCAGCCTCATTGATTTCTCAAATTTTGCCCGTGAACTTTAAGATAAGAAGGAGAAAGCTTTCCCATGGTTATGAGAAGTATGGAAAATAGGTCTATAGGAGATGTATAACAGGATCCTACCAAAGAAACAAATTGCCCGAGTAACATGACTTACACTGTCCACAACCACCACATCAATAGAACCACTGCGAATGAGAGTATCCACAAGGCTTAGAGCCTGCTCGCCACAATCAGGCTGAGAAAGAAGCAAGTTCTCAGTTTTTACGCCAATAAGCTCAGCTAGAGCTGGATCCAGTGCATGTTCAGCATCCACAAAAGCACAATAACCTGCACAAGAAACAACACTGTGAATTTGTCCAAAATAATCCAAAAACTGGGAAGGTAAAAGATGCTTCGAAATAAGATGCTATATATGCATAAAACAAACAAGCATGTTTTGCAGAATTGCTTTCACTCTTCATGCATCAGTAGGTATAATAAAGCCAATTGAAATAAGCCAAACGTGATGATGGAACATACAAGTACGTCATATCAAAGAGAGCACAATGCTATTTGTGACACAGTAAATGTAGGAACAACTCTCGTCTCAGTAAGCAGTCCTTCACAGCAGTTAAAATTAGATTTAAGAAGAAAAGGACAATTGAACAATTCTTATAAGCTTATAAAAAACAAGATAGGACTACCCCATTGTAAAAATAAATAAAAAAATAAAACATGTACGCATCAATAAATTCTCAAAGCAATGCATACGTATTTTCCTTCTCTATATCTCATTAAACTTTCAAAGCAATGCATACGTATTTTCCTTCTCTGTGTCAGGTGGAAAGCGTATGAAACTGAATTAAATAAGAAAAATCACCAAGGTACCTCCAATTTTTTGGGCTTCAGCAATTACGTGAAGAGCAAGAGTTGTTTTACCAGTAGCCTCTTGACCATAGATTTCCACAACGCGGCCCTGCAAAAAGCACAGTCGAAGAGATCAAAAAGAGAGCATGTTAAAAAATAATAAATGGGGCTAAATAAGACGAAGAACATTGAAAAAAAAAAGTGAGAGTCACGATCAGAAGAATTTGTTTAACTAAATCAAACTCTGTAGTTTAAATACCAAAAAGTTAAAATTTAGGTAAAACATGGACATCTACTTAAGAATTTAAGAGAGTAAACCAACATGCCCTTTTCTCACAAATCAAAGCTCGACTCAATTTAACAAGGCCAAATAAGTGCAACATAAGGAATGATATGCTTGAACTATGGTAATACAAGAAAAAAACCAATGAAACAATTTGATGGTATTCAAGTTGTACCTGAAGTAGTTATTATGATGGCAAAAGCTTAAGAAACCTAAAATTTAATTAAAAAGGCCAACCAAAGGAATTCCTTCAAAAACTTATAAATCAGTTGGAAAAATATTGTTCTATGTGCTCAGAGCGAGATAAAAAACTTGTTCATAAATATTTTGACTCGATAAATGATTGAAAAAATGTGGGGTTATTAATTATTTTTTTTCTCCACGTTATTCACAGTCTAACATGCTCTTGTGGACTATTTAGACATCAGCTCCCAGTAATCGATGATAGATCAAGACAGAAAAGCAGTTCTCAATAGGACTCCAAGCACTGTGAGCTTAAGAGCAGGGCTTTAATTCAATTTTGAGATCTCTAAACATTCATGTAACAAAGATACTACATACGACTAAATATCTAATCATGTGTGGTTATGTTACCATACAGACCATGATAGTGCATACATCTAAAAAGATAGAATATGGTGTGATCAGAGGAATAAGACACTCAAAAAACCATAACAAACAAAAGGCACTTCCACATACAAAATGAGTGCACGGGAGCTAACCGCGCATGATAACGGCGCTGGGGAGCTTCGAAGGCGGGGCCAGCTCGCCTAGCATCGCAGAAGCAGGAGCGGCGCAGAGCGGAAGCAGGATCGCGATTTCTCGTGAGGTTTCAAGAGAGCGGGAGATCCCGCGTGAAGTCTGGATGGATCTAGCGCGATCCGGCTTGGGGCATCACGAATTTGTTGCTCTAGGGAATGCTTTATGGATTTCTCTAGGTTTCTCACACTCTTCATTTGTGTTCGAAGGGAGCCTATAAATTATTGTCCTAGGTATGTAGGGATTCGGTTCAGATTATGTTGTCTTCAAATCTCTTGTGTGGAGTTCATTTCCCCTTTGTGAGTTGTATCCGAGGAGATGATGGTGCTACGGTTGTATTCTTCTCCGATATGGTGATTATATTCTTCCCTTTTACCTTTCCCAAACCCTCTCCTCTCTGCTCCTCAACCGCCGAACTCTCCCTCCATCACCCCGACACCAAACTATTCCCCTTTCCTACAAATTACTATTGTTATCCCGCCTTCCTAACTTTGTTCAAGCTCCTCACAACCACCCCACTACAGCTGCCACCCAAACCCTTCTCACTTGTTGTCTCTACAGTTTCATATCTTCCCCTCGCTACCATCAGTACTTTATGATTGTCACAATCCCCGCTAGCCATCCCGACCGGCCTCGCTGATCTCCACCACATCAGAATGCATTTAGGAGTGTTCGATTGAGTTGTTCGTGTTTTGTTATTATTTCTGTTCGAGTCATGTTGTAATCCTATTTTAAAATTAATGAAAGTTTGGTTGTGTTTTACAGTGTTTTCACTACTAGTTCAGCATTATTTGGTATCAGAGCTAACTCAACCTTAATCATATCCTAGGGTTCCCCAGCATCTGCCCCTACCCAAGCCACCTCCACCCAAATATTTTCTTCCAATTCCCTACCCTAGACATGCCACCATGAATAGGTACACAGGACTCGACCCGAGAAGAGATTAAGCGAGAAATTCGTCGTCTACAACGGAAACTACATAGCTAGATAATGGAAACAAAGATGAAGTTACCTTCGTCCATAATCACGAGAGTCAAAGAGAAGACAGGGACAAATAGATGAATTTATTCCACAGGGAAGATCATAGTGACGAGGAATAACGACCACGTCGTTTTGGTATCCAATACCGAAGGAGGCCGAGAGAAGAGACCCCTTATGAAGATCAAAGGGGCTATGGCATCAAGATAGACCTTCCAGAATTCAAGGGACGCACGGATCCCGATGAGTTTATTGAATGACCGCAATTAGTTGAACAGATTTTTGAATATAAAGATGTACCAGAAGACAAACGGGTCAAGCTAGCTGCCATTAAGAGAGTGTTTCTCTATAGTGGGAAAATGTGCACGGACAAAGGAAGAGGGAAGGCAGTGAAAAGATCACTAGGTGGGAGAAGATAAAAAAATAATGCAGAAAAAATATCTCGCACCTCACTACAGTCGGGCTATGTTTCTAAAGCTCCACAACTTGCAAAAGAGGGATTTTTCAATTGAAGAGTTCATTGCTCAATTCGACCACTTGCAGATGAAATGTGAACTAATGGAGCCAGAGAAACATACAATAGCCAGATATCTCAGGGGGCTGAAACCCGCCATCAACAATATGATACAACTGTAGCCATACCGGACGTTGGGAAATGTCCAAACATTAGCCTTGAAAGTGGAAAAACAAAAGCAGGGTCGGCCACAATCATTTTTCAAGCAGGAACCTTTAGGTCGGCTGTCACCTACAATTACCACGAGCGACAAAGATCTATCAAGAGAAACAGGCAATCCCGGAGTAGGGAATGACACTACTGATCAAAGCGGGAAGAAACTAGAGAAAGGCAACTCCTCCAACAGAGTGTCGGCCAAGAAGTGCTATCGATGCCCCGGTCACAGCCACACTGCCTCCAACTGCCCCACGAGTAGGGTGATCACACTCACAGGCCAAGGCATCATAAAAGAAATTAGTGATGAAGAGAAAGCCAAGGAACATGGTGAGGAGTATCATCTTCCCCCATATGAAGGAGAGGAGCATGTGATTCGACGGATTTTGTGGGCTGAGAGCACTAAGGATTCGCAGTGACTTCATCACAACATATTCTACACTTGTTGCACAATGAGCAGAAAGGTATGCAGTCTCATCATCGACGGCGAAAGCAGCAAGAACGTGACGTCGACGCAGATGGTAAAGAAATTAAGACTCGCAACTCAGACACACTCCCAACCATATTCACTAATGTGGTTGGAGAAAGAGAATTAGGTCAACATCAACTGAAGATGCTTGGTAGAATTTTCGATTGGACGACGGCTTTAAGACCAGGCGTGGTGTGATGTGGTCCCTATGGATGCATGTCACCTTTTGTTGGGACGACCTTGGCAATATGGTCGAAGGACTCAGCACGATAGATATAAAAACATGTATTCCTTCACCAAGAACAAGAAGTGCATCACCCTTGTTACTTCGATAGAGTCTGAGGTTACAGAACCCTTTTTCAGCAAAACAATGTCAATGGAACCAGTTTAAGTGATGACAAAAGATGAGAAGGCCGATACATCCGCCCCCGATATAGAACAGATACGG